GAACCAGGTGGAGGGGAGCTATGGGGGGAAAAAAGAGGAACAACTGTAATAATCTGAACAACAAAGATTTAATAAAAAAATATTTTATAAATCATAAAATATCATATATTATCTAAAATTAAAAGTACTTACTTCAAAATTAATTAGTGGTGAAATGAGAACATTTTCTAAGAAATTCTGATTCTAAGAAAAAATCAGTTATATCATATTTATCTATGGAAATTATAAGTATAGTTTATAGTGTGAGATAAAGTTAAAAGCAGTTATCTCAAATAGTAGGGCAGCACTTTTTATATTAGTCAGATAATATGGCTTTATAGTGTGAGATAAAGTTAAAAGCAGTTATCTCAAATAGTAGGGCAGCACTTTTTATATTAGTCAGAATATAATATGGCTAAAATATAGTAAACATTTCCATAACTTTCAGTTTTGTGTAATGCATATCATTTGAGGGAGCTGATACACTATCCTCTTGTATAGGGTACTTTTGAAAATCTAAAACTAGCAAAAGCTTCTCCTCTAACAGCCCAGATTAGAGGTGAAAGTTAACTCTACCTGCTTGTGACTCTTTGCTTCTGTGCAGTTGTTCCTCTATACCAGCTTCTCTATTAACATCTTCTACAGTCTCTTTCAGAAGCAACATCTCTTTTGTCTTCCATTCCTGGAGAGCACAGTGTTACTGTGATTAGTGTTTACAGTAACCCCTTGTATTTTGTCCACCACCAACAAGCAAATTAGAACAAGTCAAGAGCCTAACAGAAACCAGGTCAAATGTAGGGAAAGTCATACATTCTTTCGAATGGGCTTCTTTCTTACCTGCACTCCTACTAGGAATGCAGGCATGGATATTTATGGCATGGTTATCTTTTACTAAAGCTAAACTTAAAACACCCAATTCACCTTTACTAACATTTTAGAGAAATCAGGGAGTTAAATGGTGTCTAATAACTTCCACAATCATCTCTTTAAGAGCTGATAATTGACTCATACGTATAGTTTGTGGTGTCATTCTCGTTATTTATGTAACAACTTGTATATCACAGCTGTAAAGAAAGATTAATGTGGGTGAATTATTTAGACCTGAAATAACTTCAAGAAGTATGACAGACAGCTAAAATTATTTACAAATAAAACACTGCACATGAGTTTTTCTCTTCATATTTTAAATGTATCTCTGACCTCTTCACAGTTTAGGGAGACTTAAGTTTTCTTCTTGTTTGTTCCTGCTGTCGTCTTTCTTCTCTGTCCATCCAGAGGAGGTGCTGCTCCTCCGCTGTGCCCTCACGTTGGTCTAATTTCCTACTTGTCACATTCAAATATCTAAATAAAGTACAAATGCAGGTGAAGGTGAATTGCATCTTGCCCTTCTAGTGGCATCAGCTGCTTTGAAATGCCCAGACCACCTCCTTGCTCAAGTTTTACTTCTTGAACTCAGGAATTTCACAGTTTTTCTCTCAGTGCTATTCAAGGACTTGTAAGCCAGCTCTCACCATGCTCAGTCATACAGATCTCCCTACCGTGACAGTAACTGGTCTTATGGCCAAGACAGTGGTAAAATGTGGAGCTGATTCCTTCAAAACAAATTTTGCACAGTAATTATTCATAACTCAGTGGGTTTAGGGATATGAGTTTCCAAAGACGGCTGGAATATCTGAGAATTGATTTCAAATCTGGAAAAAACAGAAACAAAAACAAAAAACCCCACCAGGTTTGAATTTCCAGAAGAAAAAGATGTATCCTGGTTCCCCGTGGCTTACAGAGCCTTCAATAAATCTTCTATCTATAGTCCTGGTCTCTGGTATGTCAGTATGCTTATGAAACTACCACAAATTGGACCCACAGAATATAAAAGTCAAGTTGTGCAGCCCAATCCCTCACCTTAATGCAGGAGGAAAGAGGAGTAGAAAACACTATGATGTCCCTTCATTTCCTAAGTTATTTGGGCTGGACCATGGGATGGTAATGGCTGAACATGAGCACGTGATATCGTAGAGCTTATACATTTTCTTTCAGGGACAATGCATCTCTATATTGGCATTAGATATAATCAAACCTCTAATTTTGACTTTGCACGAAGTTCCTCAAATTTAATGCGGTCAGCCCTTAAACATGTATCATAAAAAGCTACTCTTAGAGGCCAGCTTCAGAATCTTTCTGCCACAATAGACTCTTCCTATTGTCCCCAACTCAGACAGAAGGAACACATTAGAATAGTAGCAATTTAATTACGGATTTCTGCTAACAATCACTGACATATAGAGGACTGTCCCTTTCCCTTTCTTGGCCCTATAAAGCAACCTCAAATTATTCTCTATTCCTGCTCTAAATTTACATTAGGAAAAACATGTTTAACTAATCTGTCCTAATTGAAGGTAAAAATATTATAAGCAAATAATTTTCATATGAGTAAAACTTTCTTCAAAATCCCATGTAAGAAAACAAATTTAAATATTTAACTTACTTGTTCTTTAAGTAGTTGTTTTTGATATCTAACTTTAGACTCATGAAATGTTGCCCATACTTATTAAATTCTCTCAGATTATAGACAACCTAAAGAACAAAACAATAAAAATATATAAAAATACAAACATTTAAAATGGATAGTAATCACTTTCAGGAGGAAAAATAATAATAATATGTAATTTGGTAACAATGTGGTATTAAAGAAATAAATTTTTAACCATTTTGTAAGAAGTATCTCTCTAAAATTGTTAAACAATAGCACATTTATGTTTAAGTCTCATTATGTGTTAAAATTTATGAATTTAGTACACACAACTGATTTATTAAATTTAAAATAAAATACCAATGCAATAATCGTTTTCAAAACAAATTAGAATACAAGACAATTCTTATGTTCTATCAAGATTCTATCTGGCTAATATTGCTGAGTCTTTATTTTGCCTCAAGTTTTAAAAATTTTATAGGACATAATCTTTGACAAGCATACAGAACATTGGAGGCACAGAAAGAGTACTATGATACAGTTGGGAAATTATCTTTACATCCTCAAATTATTTGGTAATCATATTTTGATATTAAAAATTTTTAAACGTGGGAGTAGTATCATTTAGAAACAACTATTGTCTGATTTCCCTTGACCCAAAATACTCAGTAATTTCTAGAATTTCTCATTAACTATCTCTCATGATCAAGTTAAAGGTGAAACCACACCCCCACCCCAGTGGTTATAGAAGCCAGCTTATATCAAGTGTTGGAAGTCTTCAATGATTAAAAAGAAGTACTCTTCAACCCACTTTATTGCTGGTGAGGTAGCCTCCTTCTGTTAATCTCCTCCGGATATCTTCCTGTGAATGGCTGCTCCTGGAGACTGTTATATTGCTTGTCCAAATGCTGAAAATAAGGATCAGTCAAGTTAAAGCCATAATGAGAGGAGTTAGCTTGACACGTAGGCAGACAGGGCAGGTGGAACATAGGCAGGGGCAGACAAGGCAATTTGAGCAAGCCTAACCACAGTCAACCATGCAGAAACAACAATGTTTTTAGAATCAGAGCAGGAGTATGTGAACCTAGGGAGAGGCTGCAGCAATAAGGTGAACTGATGTATAGGAACAGGGAAATTCCAGGTCCATTGCTGGGCAAGAACAATCAGGTAGGGACATGGGTAGCTATGAAGCAGGCTTGCAGCAAATACATACCCCTAGATGACAAGGCTTCAGTGGCTACCCATTATGGGCCACTTCCTCGTGCAGGAGTCTCAATAAATTTTCCATGCTTTTGTTTAAATCTTCAGGTCAGAGATTTGATTCTTCGAACTCCTGGTCATTAGCCATAAGAATGTCAAGAAAGCTGCAAACACATTTTAAAAGGCCACAAACATAAACGTAATGAGTTTCATTTTTAAATATTGACCTACTAATATGATAGAATGTTCATTCAAAATAAAGCATGCAAGAAGTGTGTGAAAGGGGGAAAACCAGCAACATAAAGATCTGGATTGTGTAATGCTAATTCTTATTCCTACTTTTTCCTCCATTGACCTTAATTATTCTAAAAACCCACCCTCACTCAATTCCTCCATTGACCTCTATCAGTCCTTGGCCCTGAGCCAGAGAAGAAAGGAAGAGAGCAAACAAAAGAAACTAGGATAAAATGTGTTTTAATGGATAAAGCTGAGTTTAATGTTGAGTTTCTCCATTTCCCTCCATTTCCTTCCAGATCAAGGCACTGCATTCAATTATAAAGATATAATATTAGTTATGACTATTATATCTCAATTACCTAAAAATGAAGAAAATGTGAAACCTTTTTCCAATATCCATGGAAACAAGTTTGTCTAAAAGATAGAAGTAAAACCCAGATGTTAAAATGATGGACTAAATAGTTATTGTACCTTGAGGTCTTACCTAATACAAGAAACCCAGCAATGTCTGAGTACTATATTCAGGAAAAATTTTCAAGACCTGAATTATAAAGTTTAATGTATTGAAGAACCAGTTATAAAGGTTTTGACAGGGACTGAGATTTCTCCATATATGAAAGACAAAATGCAACCTTGTGCAATAGCCATTAGCATATGAAAGAAGAAAAATATCAGCTATTAGTCATGTCTCTATATGTGATACTTCAGAAAAAAAAATCTCAGTTATTTAATTTCATTTGTAAATTAAAACATTACCAAAGTGGTGAGGTTTTTTGTTTGCTTGCTTGTTTTTGGTATGAGTTCTTAGTCTATTTTCATTAACAGGATGGTGTTAATACCTTAATGAGAACCTGTGAAAGGGAAAAAGTGGAGGACAGAAGTAGGTGTGGACTTTGTCCTAATGTCTTTACATTATTTTTGTTTTCATTTACATGTTTCTGCTCAGAAAAACAGAAGTTTTAGTCTAAAGTAACATCAAAGCAAGAACTGGCCCAAGTGAAGGTGACTGGAATGTGTGGGGATGTGGAAAACCTGAGAGCACCTGGCCTGTTTGCAGGTCCTGATTCAATGTACAAGACTCCACAGTCCTGACCTATCTGCAGGGACCTGTGTTGCTCTGTCTGGCAGTAGCCACGTCAGTCATGAACACTAAGCAGCCTGGCTGGGTAGGATCCTCAAGGAACTCCCTTAATGTAGGTGGGAGCGCTGGAGGCAAAGACCAACAAGTTGTTAATATATAAATGTGAGAAGTCCATCAGAAGGCTGATGGACTTTGATATTCAGCAAGGGCTGAGAATCAGCATAATATTACCTGCTGCTGGATGAATGGCTGAAGGCAATCCCCTAACCTGATAATCCTTTATTGTTTACCAAACCTTACCATTGATGTCTGTTTGCTTTGCTAAAGGGCAAATGTATATTCTAGTAAGTAAAAAGTTATGGGTCTGGAGATTCAGAGAGCCACTCCACTAGAGAGTAGGACTCTGCCTGGCTCCCCATGCCTTCTAAATTTATATTTCTTGTCTAGTATATCCGTTTATGTGCAGCCCCTTCTCCAGATCCTGAATCCTCAATACAAAAGGTTGCGGCACTTTGGCGCCTTGAAACAGGGACTGGAGACGAAGATTTGCTGGAGTGAAAAATGAAGGAAAATCACCCGGAGAGGTGAGAATCACCAAAAAAGGTGTGGAGACTCACTCATTGTGCATAAAGCCTGTACCAAGCTTTGGAATTCACGATCCGAAGTGGGCGGGAACGTCTTTTTAAAGCCAGGGAATAATGGGGAAGAATTCGATTAAAAGGCAAAAATATCATTGTAAATTTTTAGCTTGTATGCTCAAGGATAAAGAAATTAAAATGCCAGAAGACTGCTCTCTTGAATGAGGCTCAAGGAAAACGAATACAAAAGGACTCTTTAATGCTTTGTCTGAAAATTACCATACGATGTTTTGGGACAGGCAGATTTTAGCTAAAATAACTTTAAAGGCTAGCCAATGCTATGGAGAGAAAGATCCATGAAAAGAACTTTATTAAGTCTTGCCTATATGTTATGGGTGTTTGTCTGTTGATTATAGTTTTATCTGTCTTTGTTGTTTATTGTTAATTTATTAAGCATGCCTTTCATTTAATTTAATAAGAAAAGAAACCTAGGCCAGGCCATTTACTGAATTTCCCCAGAGCAAACAAGATGTGGGGGTGGGGAGACATTTAGCCAATAGTACATGTCCTAGGAGACAAAGGGAAGTAACTAAAGAAAAAGGCCCCAGCCCATTAATTACTAGGTCTTTTTGTGATCCTGTCAAGTGGATGCCAACTAGAGCAAACAAGATGTGGGGGTAGGGAGACATTTAGCCAATAGTACATGTCCTAGGAGACAAAGGGAAGTAACTAAAGAAAAAGGCCCCAGCCCATTAATTACTAGGTCTTTTTGTGATCCTGTCAAGTGGATGCCAACTCTTAAGAGTGCTATTAAAAGTCTCATTTTCACCATGTTTTTATTTTCGTGAAGAGAAAAAGGCTAGCTTACCTAAAAGATGGCTAAAATGACACAAGGAGCATATAGGGGCTGTATTTAGGCAACAAGATTAGTGTTTCCATAATAAAAGGTCATTCTTGAATAATAATGGACTGCATTCCAAGGTTCTCTCACAGGTCCTGGGCACTCCTGTTTTTATAAAGAAAAATAAAATAAAATGATACTTTAACATTAAAGCCACTGAAAGCCAGTAAGTTATCTCTGTTGCAGAATGTGCCAAAGTAAATGCCTTAGATGTTGAAACATGGATGGATAGATGTAGCTAAAATGAAGAATATGTGGTGGAGCTTTTCAGTGATAATTATAGATATATTGATGGAGGAGGGGGCTGGCCCTGTTTCCTGCATCAGTAACCTTAGATGTTATCTATAAGGAAGAATGTGGCAGTTTTAAAATTCAAAAGACCTGCTTCCCTCCTCCCCCTCTAAATATAGTTTTCTAAAGTCTTTGGTAACTTAAAACTTTGGAATTTGCTGAATTACATAATAAAAAAATTTTAAATATCTAGGTATTTTAAAATAACAAAATACTGAAATATTAATCTGAGTTTGCCTCATATGAAAAATCTAGAGGACAGAATTGAATCTATTAATTAAATATGTCTTATATTTTATTTGAAATATAGCCTTAAAATGTGAAGATATTACTAATCTGAGAAATGCTAAGTAATTAACCTGCCACCTAAAATTTAAGGCTTCTAAGAGTTTAAAGTTCAAATTAAGTTAGGAGAAATTACATGGTTGTGATAACAAAATGCATAAAGTATAGAAATTTATTTTTTTACAAAACAATTCTTTTATTTTCTCTGGAGAAATTAGTAGTTCAAAATGTATTTTAGTCCTTATATGTACTACATGTAGTAAAATTTCAACCTAGGATATAATATTTTATTGGCCTAATTAAAAACTAAGCATTAATTCTATGGTCTGAACCAAATTTTTAATATAAAAACCAGTTTAAAGTTAATATCTTTTAGAATAATTACAAAAAGTATATAATATAACCTTTGGATTATGTATATTTGATAGTCTTTCCAAGTTAAATTTCAAGATGGGCGGTAACCTGTCACTAGAGATTTAGCAGGCTCCGGATGGCTGTGTGCTTATCAGCGGAGATGTGTGCTTGTCAGCGGAGATTTAACAGCTGTGTACTTAGGGTGAGGGTAGGTTATCTTTTAACTCCAGGTTAAACCACAAGGTTTAATTGATTCCCAGGAGCTGGCTTGGGGGGACCAGAAACCTATTGTGTTGTAAGCTGAAGATGTATATGTAATTTCTAATGGCTCCCAACAAGAAGCCAATATTTTTATGAACAATTGGCTTTAACAAAGGCCAAAGTAAAAATTTGCATATGTATGCAAATGAGCACTAGCCAAAAAGAATGCTGTTTAAAAGTAAATTTTAAGCTTAATAAAAAGGAGAAATTTTAAAATCTCTTCCACTACTATTTATAAAGTAAACTAAAAGTTATTATTCAAGTATTAAATCTCACCATTAATAAGACACCACAAGTAAAAAGAGAGTTACCTTTACTTGATATGTGTGCATTACAGTATTGGCCAGGATCTGAAAAGCAACGAAGTTTGTTGCTCTGTTTAAAAGGAAGAAAAAAGGTTTTTAAAAGGAACTCCAAAAAGGTGGCCTAGAAATTACTCTGGGGGGAAAAACAGAAGGAGATTCCTGTCAAATAACTAGAAAACTGTAATTAAAAGTCAATGTATTAGGCCTCAAAAAGAAAAGTAAATAGTTTGCATTATGCCTCCCTAACAAAGCTTATGTCAATATACTCAAAGACTGATAGCAGATATTTAACTAGTGTCATTTACTGTCCATACCAAAGGACAAATGAAGTTAGAAAATAAGCTTTATTTCAGACTGATTTAAATTGGCAAATTGAAATAAGTTAATATTCAGGAGAACTTAGTTGTACTAGGCAGGAACCTATTCCTGGAGCATTAACTATTTTTTTACTGATGGCTCAGGTCATAGTAAAGTTGCTTATCATGCAATAAATTCAGACTAAGTCATCCAAAGCAGTCATACTTCTGTGCTAAGAATTGAATTAAAAGCTATTAAGGCTGCATTGCAGGATTTTAAAAAGCCAAATGATTGTACAGCAAGCAAAAAAAAAAATACCCCCCCCCCCTTGCAGGTTAAAACAAAAAAGGGGGGACGGCTGCATTGCAGGATTTTAAAAAGCCAAATGATTGTATAGCAAGCAAAAAAAAAAAAATACCCCCCTCCCCTTGCAGGTTAAAACAAAAAAGGGGGGACAGTAGAGTAATCTCCTGTAAGTAAACTACATCAAGCCTTAATTACTTCAAATTTTTTCACTTTAAAAATTTTTTTACTTATAATGCTGATGGCCAAAACACCCATGAAATTACACTGGTGTCAGAATAAGCCAAGGAAAATGGTTTGGTTAAATGGAAAGATCTCGAGTCTAGTGTATGGAAGGGTCCCTTTATTAACCTTTGGTCGAGGATATGCTTGTGTATTTCCAGAGAACTCCTCCAAGTCCATGTGGAAACTGCAACAATGGATCTGAGACAGGAACAGACAGAATACTCCGACCACAGACAGCAGTGGCCCCAAGCAACACGCTGACGAGACTGGAGTAACAGTCCAGAGATGGGGGATGGTAAAGACGCCTTGCCATCCTAGCAGTCATTAGCTGTGCATCAGTGTAGGTTGCCCTGGACAAAGCCAAAGAAGGTCGGATGTGCATTGCCATTGCCCACCGTTTGTCCACCATCCAGAACTGGAATGTCATTGCTGTCATGTCACAGGGGACAGTGATTGGGAAGGGGACACAAAGAACTGATGGCCCAAAAAGGAGCCTACTGCAAACTGATTCCTTAGATGCCTGACAGCATTTTAAAAGGACATGATAGAACTCAACCCTTTTCATTGAATCTAAAAGTCTTAAAAGGAACTGAGCTCTGCAAATGGCATACATCCTTCTAAACTTATTAAGAAAACAAAAGGGGGGATATGCTGGAGGCTAGACAAACAAGTTGTTAACATATAAATGCAAGAAGTCCCTCAGAAGGATGATGGGCTTTGATATTCAGCAAGGGCTGAGAATCAGCATAATATTACCTGCTGCTGGATAAATGGCTGAAGGCAATCCCCTAACCTGATAACCCTTTATTGTTTACCAAACCTTAACATTGATGACTGTTTGCTTTGCTAAAGGGAAAATGTATATTCTAGTAAATAAAAATCTATAGGTCCGGAGATTCAGGGAGCCACTCCACTAGAAAGTAGGTCTCTGCCTGGCTCCCCATGCCTTCTAAATTTATATTTCTTTTCTAATGTATCCTTTTATGTGCAGCCCCTTCTCCAGATCCTGAATCCTCACTGCAAAAGGTTGCAGCATGGGAGGATGCTTCATATGTGGGCAAAGGGGCAGTTTGGTGGAAACTGATAGGATGCTAGCTTTCCTTTTCATTTAAAGCTTCCTTGGAACATTTCTGTTCTCAGCCTTAACATCAGGCTTTATTCCCTTCCAAGGGGGTCTAAATCATAAAGTGTAATCATTCCTTAATTGCCAGTGCTTCCCTGAAAAGGAAGAGCAAGGAATTCTATGGGGCAATGTCTTGAATTTAGTGAAGCCAGATATGAAGCAACCAACAATCATGAGTCAAGGGTTGTCTGATTGTTTCTTTTAGAGGTTGACAATTAACTGTTGACTTCTTTTAGATATTGGCTTTTGGCTGTGATGAGATTCAGGAAGCCACCACTTGCCAATACTGTCATGAGAGTACACCAAGGAACACAGAAGGCCAATGGACCTTGAGCATTAGCAGGGCTGACGCCAAGCACCAATTGTTTGTGTTGAGATAGTGGTGGCTCAAAGCAATCACCTGACCTGATAGCCTCCAAGTAAATGTTTACTGGACCTTACAGGTCTTTACTGATCTTTATTGACCTTAGAGATGGTCTGTCTGCTACCTGTTTGCTGTGCTTTACTGAGGGCAAGATGGGTATCTAAAACTGAATAAAAGCAGACAGGACCCAGTTTTGGTGTGTCTCTTCAGAAAGAGGCTCCACTTTGTCTCCACCCTTTAATAATTCATATTTCTTGTCTAGTGTTTTCAATTGTGCATCAGCCCCTCCTTCAGATCCTGAACTTACCTCTGCAGGTCACAGCAATGAGATGTTTCTCAAGATCAAACATGGGCTACTTAACCTATAAACAAAGAACAACTTTTAAACAATTCCATTCACTGGAGCCAGGGTATTTCAATTGTTTTGTTTCCCTTCAAAAAATAAAATAAAAAATTGAAAATGTAAATATAAATAAAGCATTACTTCATTGAGGAGCTTTTACAGAAACAAAAAGAAAGCTCTCACAAACTCAATCTTCAAGGAAATAGCTTGGTGCCTAATTATAATTAAATGAAGACAATTTGGGGGGGTCATCTTTTTAAAAGTACTTGACAAGCAAATTAATATTTGACAGAAAATGATCGTACAGCAAACATTATACTTGAGGAAGCAGGCAAAAGAAAGGCAGCACTAAGTTTAGACAAAAAAGAAGAGTAGTATAGTGGCAAGTATGCTGCAGGAAAGCTAGTTTCTGTGAATGTGACCCAGTTAAATTGTGGTAGGTGTGCATAGTTTTCATCAGCTTGCTCTATCCTAGTAGAACAGATTTGTTTTTAAAAACAAGTATTTTCCAGAAGCAAAACTTGCTTTAAGAAATCATGTTTACTGGGCAAATTTACAATATCAAGAAGCCTGACTTATTCTGACATCATAGAAAGGTAGGTGGTCACTCGGAAATTTTCCCTATAGAATTTTTTGCGATATTAACGAAATAAACCATTCAAAAAACAATGCACTGAACCAGCTTCAGTAGTAGTGACTGAGGTCAAGGGCTGGGGAGGTTTAAGGGTGGGAGTAGCTGGAATACTAAAAACAAGAAAGAGTTTGAGGGAAGTACACACTATAACCCAGTATGAGTTAAGTTATAAAACTGTAATTACAGAATTGTAGTGTTGAGTAAAATTATACAAACAAGGGCAATGCAAATTCTTAGGAAATATAAGCTCACTGGGGGCTATGATAGTTCAGAAAAAAATCTGAAATGTGGCTGAAGTTCATAGACTGCAGAGTAGAGGAAAGAGTACACCAGGTTTGAGGGAAAGTGAGGAAAGGCACAGAAGCATTCCCATGTTATGTGAGAGGAGGTATGAAAGACCCCAACTGAAGGAAGCGGAGGTTCTGGGTGGGAGTAAGACTGGACAGGAATGTTGGGGGAAATCATGGAGTGTCTTCCGGGAGGCAGTGCCTTCTTCCATTAAAGTGAAGTTACAGTACTGAAGCAGGTCAACTCATTTCAATTCCATTTTATTCTCACTGTTGTGTATGAGATAGAATTTCTCTCAAAACATAACCACAGAGAAAGTTGTGTAACAAGTTACAATTTGTTAAGATCACAACATAATTAATTGCCAGTCAGCACCCATAATTTTATACCTTTGAACCAAACATATTTATTTCTAAGTAAATAAAATCTCACTAAATAAGTATATCTTGTGTTACTACAAAGAAAAATTCATATGCTTCTAAAACTTAAGAAAGAAGAATAAAACTTTTCCATCCCATGATTCTGTGCAAGCTGGACTAAATGAAGTTGCTTGGCATGAATCCCAAATAATACCTTGGTTTACACCTGGGTTTGATTTGTTTTTTTTTTTTTTTTTTTGCTGTTAATGTTAATGCGAATTCTGTTAATGGACTTTGTATAATGTAGCACCTCACTTCAAAAACAAGTAGACATGGGCAAAGACAACCAACACCAAGGCAAAAATTACCTTTTCACTTAACTTCGTCCTAAAGTATAAATGATTGCTCCCCAGGATCATGGGCAGCTTGACTCCAAGGGGTAGATCCAGTAGTGCAGCCACTCCACTGCCTGGAAAGTGGGCTTTGTGCTTGCCCTGTTGGGAACAAAGGAGAGTTTTGTCTTTCCTTTTAGGCTTTATTTCCTTAGTTCAGGCCTATCTACCCCTACTGTAACCAAAGAAGCAAAGGGTCATACAGTCAGGATTAAAGGGGCCTGGCCTGAAGACCTCCTGGTCTGTCACCAGCCAGTTGCTATACCCCACTGCACTGCATGAGGGCACCCCAAGCACCACAGTTACATCCATGGGACCTGTCTGTGGCTCTCCTGCCCCATGTAAGACAAGGCCTCCTGCCACTAGCATCTCCTTATAGCTGGTGTTCCTGTCCTTGGCCAGGCTGCTGGTGGCCTTCTTGGTGGGAGCAAAGCCAGCAGCCATGGAGTGGGTGCTGAGGTAACTCTCCATAGAAGGCCTGGGCCCCTGCCCTCCTCATCCCTTGCCCAGACTGCACCTGGAATGGCCAGTATGCCCTTTTGCCCGAGGCTCCACTGTATCAGAGTCCCAGGTTGGAATGTGGGAGCCTCACAGGGCGGAGCCCTCAGAGGCTGGCTCCTTATCGCTTGAGGCGTGAGCATCCAGAGCTGGGGAAATCAGTCCACGGGGCCTGGTCCAAAAATCATTTCTCTCTGAAACCAACACAAAACCAACAGTCAAACCAATCCCCAAATCACCACATATAACGCTTTGCTGGCGCAGAGCTGGCTAATTTCTTCTGACCTCCACCTCCAAGGAGCTATGGTTCCAGAAAAAGAAAACTCCAGGAGTGATTGTACCAACCATTCTAGAGCCAGAGGCCTGGCTTTCCACCTGTCCCCTCCTAGACACTATGACCACACCCTGTTCCAGGCTCCTGCACCCACTTCCCACTCCAGGTCTCAATGATGTTTCTTTTGACCCTTCTTTCTCATCCGGTTCATCTGACTGCTACCTTTTATCCTTCCCGATCCTTTGGTGTCCACTGTCACCTCTCTTGATTTAAGCTCTCAACTTATAATCCAAAAGTTTTAAAATTAAAAGTTAAAGTAATGTCACATTCAAAGGGCTCAACAACATATATTCATGTTATCAAATAAGAACAGGCAACACTTAAGAGTTAAGGACTGTATCTACCCTGGTTTGCTCCGTAACAATTACTGCTCTCAGCTACAGAGCTCAGGCCCTCTCTGCCCGGAACAGCTACTTCCTCCAAAGGCTGAGCTACCAAGCATGCCCACCTCCTTTCCTGGGTCTCAAGTTAAGCTTAAGTGGTAGGTTGTTAATATTATAATGATGGTTTTAATTGTCTGATACATATACATGCTTTCTAATGTTTTTATGGTACTGGTTTAGCATAAAATCAGTGAATGTTATCTTCTAATCAAAGCTGGACCTGAAATTCTTTTCCAGGATAATATCCATATAGGGAAATTCAATTTGATTTTTCTAGTTCACAGCATCTACCTTCCCTTCCAGTATCCCACATGAGAAATATCTGCATTCATTTATTCAATAAAAATATTGTAAGATTGCTTTTTTCTCCCTCAATTTTTGGTTCTTCTCCCTCCCCCCTAAAAAGGACCATAAAGCATCAAACCTTGGTAAAATGAAGTGAAGCAGACAGTGTTTTGAATCCTAACTCTGCTATTCTAGTTCATTTTTCAAGAAAATTTCTGGGAGATCGAAGATGGCTGCTAACGGGAAGGCAGCTGCAAGACAGTGTGTGAGTGAGAGAATGAAAGGAGAGCGTGTAAACATACGGAGAGTGTCTATTTATGAGTGAGGGACAGCTATACTCCAAGAGACTGTTGGGGACTGCCAGACTGGGCTCCCCTCACGGGGCAGCCTCCACTGCTGCTGAAATCTCTTCTGGAGCAGCCGGCTCTGCCATCTTGAAGGGGAGAGTGACTGTGATCAGAAGCCTAGCCTTATCTTCAATTGGGAAGAATTGGCTACCTCCTGGAACCCTACAACCACAACACCCAGGGACCAGCTGCAAACCCACAAACACCAGGTCTCAAGCAGTGTGAATACATGGACTAGGACAAGCTCTGAACCTTCTCACGGAAAGATCAGATTTTGCCCAGAGAAAGGTGAGGTCTGAGATCCAGACTGGAGGGAGAAATGCATGCCGTGGAATCTAGAGGTTCAGAGGAAGTCTGCGCCCCACAAAATCCGTAGCCGTTGGGGCCAGCGCAGTCTGCGAATGTTGAAGGGGGTCTACAGGGCTGCTGACAGAAGGGAACTCTAGAAATCAACCCATAGCTGGGCTGGCAACAAAAAGGCAGCCTGCAGCTTCACCAGTAAACCGGTTGCACTGTGCCAGGGGGAAAAGACCTGCAAAGAGACCTGAGCAGAGTCCCGCGCAGTGCCAGGGTGAAAAAGTCGCGAGTTTGTGCACTTACATTGGCTCTTTTTTCTCTTTATATCCTTGCTTTTGAATACTAAGCCCAGTACATAGGATCACCTAATTAAAAACACTCTCAGATACTGCAGGAGAAAGTTGTTCTTGTGGAACCTGGGGAACAGAGCAGGGAGAAACCATCAGAAAACAAGCTCTGGGGCAGTCCATACCCCAAACCAGTGTTAAGGGCAGCAGGGAAAACAAATCCTAAATACTGGGTAGAGAGGACTACAGCCCCAGATGTCAATACAGAAATATTGGCACCCAGGGGTTGAATCACAAATTGACTCTTGTGTAATACAACCACAGGCAGGCTGAGAAACAAAGAAATACTGCCTGACTGAATCAGGATGTGGCTTTCGATACAAAGGAGCTGTGGAATGCAGGGAACTTCAATACTGTCCTGATTACATGTTATATTCTAACAGATTGAATCTATAAACAAATGGGAGAATCCAGCTGTCAACTAATAATCTAGACATTAAAGGAAGTTTAAAAATTTAAAACACAGTAGCTCTTCTTAATATTTGTTTTTGTTTTGGAAAATAGTTATTTTATATTAAAATATATGAACAAGTATTGGATGTATTATTGTTATTTTAAAATGAATTAATACAGCTTTTAAAAATTCTCAGTCTTAGTTTCTAACAAGAAAATCATTGATCATTATTTGCTGATGAGCTTTTTAAGATGCTCAATAATTTTAAATAGTGTACATGGCATGAGACCAACAAATTTGAGAGTTATTGGATTATAGCATTCAAAGGACAAAGCTGGAGTGGGGTGAGCAGCCCAAACAGGCAGAAATGGTACTATACAGCCTTGCAATTTCCCCTCCTTGTCTTATAAAATGTAAGCAGCAATAAATGTTTTCAGTTAAAAAAAAACACACCTTAGAAATATTCTCACACTTTAATTTCTAAAACCAGATACCACCACTTGGTTTTATGATTAGATACTACATAATTTTTTTCATGGAATGTTAAACAAATACTTAGAATAGTCTAATTATAATATCATGTTAATCAGTATAATAAAGTAGCTATTCATAATTCTTGAGTAATACATTATTCATATTAGGCAACAATGACATGGTTAAACATGTAGTATGGAGGGTATTATTTAAAAATGTATTAATCTGGTTTCCTTAAACAGGATATATACTTAAAAATTTGATCTGCTTTTGATGGCTACAGTACAAATTTAAGATATTTATTATTGCCTGGCCAGTGTGGCTCAGTCCTTAAGTGTCAATCCATAAACCAGAGGCCATGGTTTGATTCCAGGTCAAGGCACATGCCCCGTTTTGGGCTGGATCCCTAGTTGGGAGCATGCAGGAAGCAGCCAATCAATGATTCTCTCTCATCATTGATGTTTCTATCTCACTCTCACTGTCTCTTCCTTTCTCTAAAACCAATAAAAGTGTATTTTTATTGGTAAAATGAAGGATATTTATTATTGTACAAAGTTGTAATCAGAGTGAGGATACAATATTCTCATGTATTACAACTTATAAAATTGACTTACAAGACTTTTCTTATAAACATTTACAAGTCTAAATGTTTATTTACATAGCAGAAAATTCTAATAATTATGTCATTACATTTTAGAATTTTCTATCTAATTTTGTTTTCTTAGCTGCACATTCAAGACTGGTCATTACTGGTCCCTATATAAGTCTTTAGGTACAAGAAGTAGCATGAACAAAGACATGGAAGCAAATAGCATAATTCTGTTGAAATGTGGGTTCATGATGGCTGAAAACAGTAGCTGGAATAAAATTATGCAAGGTCCTCAAGTAAGTGAAGTAAAGATTTGTAGATGAAAAAATGAAAAAAAAAGCTAACTTTTTAATAAGTTTAAAATAGCTAAAATAAAATACAATAAAAAACTAAGAAAATAGTCAAATGCACAGAAGCAGATAATGGTGGTTGGGGGCACTTGGGAGGAAGCAGTGACCCCAACCTCTTTTTAATTTGTGAAATTAATTTCTGAAAGGGAAGAGCTTTTTAAACCCCCTTACTGGTTGCTTGTTGTATTCCCAAGTAGTCAGATTGCTAGAAAGTTGGAATCTGATTAGGGCTGCCAGGTGTAGCAAGTAAAACACAAGAGGCCCATTTAAATTTAAATATCAGATGAAAAATAGATTTTTAGTTTTTAAGTATATTCCAAATAATGTATGAGATATACTTCCACTAAAAAATACCCATACTTGATCTGAAATTTAAATTTAACTGGTAGTATGAAATATTTTGTCTGGCAACTTAGTTCTAGCTAATTAAATATATTTCTACAAGTCATAACAGTTGGAGAAAAGCACTTTTGATCTTTTCTCATGTAAATTTGGATAAATAAAATACTTTTCTAGGTGTTTGGTTTGCAAGAGATGACTATTTCAATCACACAAAATGAAAGCAAAAATAATCCTGAAATACATACACACAAGAATGCATGTATAAGACATAAACACAGAGAGACTCCTTATAATAGAAAAGAGACCATGGAAAATTAATCTACAGAACAGCAAAATCAAAGGAAACCTCAGTTTGAAGCTCATGCAGTAGTACAAAATGCAGATGGCTGGTCGGTGGGCATAGACCACACCATGAAGGATTTGAGAGCTTGGGTAAGGAGTTTGGATTTTAAGTGCATGGACAAGCCAGCCATTCAGTGGCTTTATAGTGTCCTGATCTGCCCTGGCTGGTGTGGCTCTGTTGGTTGGGCATCATCCTATGCATCAGGAGGTTGCCCATTGGATTCCTGGTCAAGGGCACATGCCTCCATTGCAGGTTCAATACCCAGTAGGGGCCGGGCAGGAGGCAGCAGATTGATGTTGAGCTCCCACATCAATGTTTCTCTCTCTCCCTCTCCCTTCATCCTTCTCTAACAAAAAATATACATAGATGTGCATATATGTATATAAATAAATCAATAAACTATTCTTAAAAAAGAGTATCAGGATATGATTTAGGTTTAAATATATGATCGTAGCCCCTGTGAAGGACCAGGGGGTGAGCAAGAAGGAAATTAGGTGGTTATTTCCATTGCAGTTTTATTTCTAGTCTCCTGAAGCAAAAGACAGTTCTAACAATTAAGGTAGAATAAACTACGTGGTTTCAGAAACTATATGATCTTTATGATTCACAATATATAATTTCAATAGAAGTCATACAAACAATCTAGATGGAAAGGCTTAATGTTATAAAGATGTGTAACTACTTTAAAATAATCTGTACATTTAATGTAATCTCAATCAAAATCCTAAAACATTTCTTAAAATTGAAACTTAAAAAGCTGAAAGAAGTTCAATTGGAATAATGTAGAAATGACTATGACAATTTTGAAAAAGTACTAGGAAATATATGTTAATAATTATCAAGGTATGTTATAAAATTATATAAGTGTTGTTTTGACATAAGAACTCACAGATAGATTAGTGGAATAGATGAGTCCAAAAAATGACTCATCCATATGGGAAAATTGATTTAATGGAATAGATGTTTCCTATTTGTGGAGAATTGACTGGAGTTAGGTATTAGGTAATTATTTGGGAAAAAATAATAAAGAGCCAAACATTAAAAGACACCATTAGCAAAGTTAACTGAGACAGAACAGCATGAGGGAAAATATTTGCAACACAGATTTAACCAACAAAGACTAAGAGAGTTTATAAAGAGCTCCTAGAGTGTGTGAATAAAAAATAACCCCTGGCTCAAAAATGCCAACACAACATCAAGAGGTAACATTGCTTCTGACATTTGGTGTCAATTTTATCTAATTATAGAAGAAATTTCCCTGTGAACTATAGAGACGATGGAACTTCCTGTCCTATACTACACAGTTCAATAGAAGGTCTACAGTAGTTATTCAATCTAAGTTGAATGAGTAAATACATGAATGTAGACTGAAGACCATCTTATTCTGAGTTATATATCAGGTCTCCTTAGCTGGATGGATTGGCCAAAGGTGTCCTTTCAGTATCCCTGGCAACATACAAAGCGAAAGGAAAGAAATAATTGAGGCCAGAAATGGAGGTAGTTGTGGAGGTGCTGGCGATTAAAAATTCTCAGGTGACATTAAATTTGCCCAGCATCTTAAAGGAAGTAATTCACATTAAAAGTACTACAGGAAAACCACTCAAAGCAAGTGTTTTAAATCACAATAAGTCTAGTAATTCTCAATTTTAAGCAAATGCAATAGTATTCCAGACTTATAAATACTACTGCATAAATTGGTACTAGGTTTATATAAAGAGATCTATATTCTACATTTCTAAAGAAGACAGTCCTGTTACCCGTATTTTATAATTGAGAAAACGAAATGCTTGAGCATTGAAGTAATTTAAGGTTTTAGCCCAAATCAGGCTCTGAAGTCTAAGTTCCTCACATACGGTGCCTTGAAAACTTTAAAGGATTCTTCTGCTGTAAAGCACTTACCTTAAACTCTAAGTAATGCAGAGCCATTAAACAGATGAATAACCACCAACTATATTCTAATGAAATACCATAAAAGAGGGAAATAAAGAATATACTTACTCATTCCTGAGCATTCTCTATCACCATCCCATACAGTAGAAACAGCAAGTCCCATCAATGAGAGGTGAAACTTTGGATATTCATAAAAAATAAAGTTATTAGAAAGAGAGAAAAGAGAAAAAAAAATAAAAAAATAAAGTTTTTAAAATATGAGTAAACAAGTATTCAAATAAAATGACCCCTGTGATAAGGCATAACAGTAATGACTTTTTACATTAAATTATGTTGTTTAAGAAACAAAGTTAAAAAAAAAAACAACTTACATTTTTCATTTTATTCACTCAACTGAACAACAGCCTTGTTAACTGAATCACTAAGTGAATCACCAGAATGACATCATTCTGTTTATTCACATAAATTTAACAACTTTATCTAAGATGCCGTATTTGAATGAACAAAATGATACTTAGACTGATAATTTACTTAATATTTATAATCATCTTTACAAATATATATATCATTGTTATTATTTTGTGCTTGATGGAACCTATGTGAGTTTTAACCTCTGAGAAGTACTTATTTTTATAGAGTGAGTTAATAATCATTGTTTTATCCATTTTAATAGAAATAGCTATAAAAGAGCTTGAGAGGGAGGGTAGTTTCATAGAGAATAATAGTAAAAAATTTTTTTAGTCAAGAAGGAAAACATTTATAGACAGGTAAGTATATACTGACTAGAGGCCCAGTGCATAAATTCATGCACCAGTGGGGTTTCTCAGCCTGGCCTGCACAATAGGGACCAAAACCAGCTCTCCAACATCCCCCAAGAGGTCCCGGATTGTGAGAGAGTGTAGGCCAGGCCGAGGTACCCCACCAGTGCACGATCAGGGCCAGGGAGAAGATGCAGGAGGTCCACCAGCCAGGGAGGGACTGTGGGAGGGCTCCAGGGTGTGTCCAGCCCATCTTGCTCAGTCCCAATCAGCCAGACCCCAGCAGTAAGCTAACCTACCCATCAAAGCGTCTGCCACCTGGTGGTCAGTGCACATCATAGCAACTGGTTGATGGGTCAACTGTGCCCTGGTGATCAGTGCACATCATAGTGACTGGTTTACTGGTCGTCTGTCTGCCCCCTGGTGGTCAGTGCATGTCATAACAAGCAGTTGAGAGGCCTTAGCATATTATTGGCATATTATGCTTTGATTGGTTGAACCATCTACTGGTCGACTGGACACTTGGCATATTAGGCTTTTATTATATAGGATTTCTAAGTCAAAATGAATAAATTTCATCTATTAAAAGTTTCATAAATGAAATATCAAGCAGAAGTTGTTACACTATTCTTGAATACCCCTGTCACCTTGAAACAAACTATGTGCAACAATAAATGCACTACATACATAAGCCTAAAGTGGAAATTAACACTTCACACATAAGGCAAGCAATGCATAAAGCACAAGACTGCTCCAATTCAAAGACTTTATCCTGTTAACACTGACAAGAAAAATGTTCTAACTCCATGGTACTTTATTCTAAGTCAAGTTCTTAAATTAAAGTCCATTTGAGGAGATAATCAATTTTAGTTAATTACCTGCCTTGCTCATATACACGATCTATCAAAGGTTCAGTTGAATCTTCAGTTTCATTTATGTTTTCAATGCCCGAATGTAACCAAATATTCACGGCTTGTCTTAAACACTATAAATAAAAATTATCGTAGTTTAAAAACTAATTTATACTGTAAAGTAATAAAACATAATTATTAAATAACTTTTCTCCCAAAGATTTAACCAGCTTTGAATTATGGTTACATTTCAGATGATGACAGTAAGAAGGAGTTTCTGTAAGAATACCATTTTATTTTCTTTCATGGGAACTATATAAAGAATATAGGTAATAGATCAAATATTGGTTAAATGAATAGAGAGAGGTAATGCTTAAATTTCAAGAGGAGGAAAGAGAAAAATGTTTAATCCAAAGTTAATATTCATTTAACTTTCGGCTGAATTAAATTTAAAATTGTTATTCCTGCTAAGGCAACTGTGGAGAGTGGCTACAGCATTTGGACAGGTTCAAGCCTCAGACTGATAAGAGAGCACAGTCCTCTTGTGGCAAAGTCACATACAAGTCCCAGCTTGGAGGGCAAAGTCCTCCCAGCACAACTATAGCCAAAGGCTATGGTTGTATATAAGCTCTTATAGTCCGACCTTGTAGTCCTAGGTAGCTGAGGGATGTAAGCTGCAGGAGGTGCAGCAAGTGCTGCCAAAACAAAGCTTGATAGAGTTCAGAGAATTGCAAAAACAGAAAAGAAGTCGATTTGAAACCCACAAGAACATTGCAAACATCTTGACCACTCCCTTGTTTTGCTTTGTGTGATCTGACTATAAAATAAAGATTCAGCTTACAGGTTGTGTCACTATTTCCTCATCCAGGCACAGTGATCCACCTGGCCCCAACTATATTCTCTTTTTTTGTTTCTTTTTAAAAAAATATATTTTATTGATTTTCCACAGAGAGAAAGGGAGAGGGATAGAGAGTCAGAAACATCGATGAGAGAGAAGCATCAATCAGCTGCCTCCTGCACACCCCCCACTGGGGATGTGCCCGCAACCAAGGTACATGCCCCCGACCAGAATCGAACCTGGGACTCTTCAGTCCCCAGGTCGACACTCTATCCAGTGAGCCAAACCAGCTAGGGCTCTTTTTTGTTTCTTTAATCCTTCACTGCCCCTCCTCAGGTTCACCACTGGTTGTGCTGGATGAGGTTTAGGCAACTGACATAACTCTCAGGTCATTAGAAAGCTTATTGGGGCCTGAGGATCATGGAAGAGGGAAGGTCTGGAGTAGGTGAGCATGTGAGAGGGTGAGTGTGTGAGAGGGAGCGTGTGCACATGTGAGATGGGAGGGCATGTTTGTGGGAGCGGGAGCTCAGGGAGGTCACTGGGCACTCCAGGCAGAGCAGCTGCCACTGCAGGCACTGCTCTCCACTTTAGGGGAGAGCGCACATTTGTGAAGGAGTGCAGGGTTCCCATGGGAGAAGGTGCAGGGAGCACCCTGTCCCAGCACCTCTGTGTCCCTGACAGAGGCACCCAACCCCACTGCTGAGACCCCAAGTCTTCGGGCACACAGACCAGCGCTCCGGGCTCAGTTACCTGAACTGTGCACCTGTAGGAATGGCCAGCAGTGCAAGGGGCTCACCTGCTATATTGGTGACAGGGGCCCTAACCTGCCCAGCCTCCTCCTGGGCAGAGTGACAGGCTGGCCCTGCCATTGGGACTAATGGGGCACCCTGCCGACTACTGGGCAATGGAGTGCCCAGCTTGCCCCAGCCCATCAGTGAGCAGCAGGCCCCGCCCCCTCCACAAGGGAGGGCCAGGCACCCCACCTCATGAGCAGAGTGTGCTCAGTCTGCCCCAACCCCTCTGTGGCAGAGCAACCAGCCCACCCCTCCATAGAGGCCAGCGAGGCAATGGCCTGCCTCCTGCATGAGCGGAGCAATGCCCAGCCTGACCCTCCTTCCTCAACAGTGGAGCCCCTATCCCCAACCACCACCCTGACACATGCCCAGCCTCGACACAGGGACTGGCCACCCAAACCAGCACGCCTGACCCAGTGTCCCTGGACGACTGGTCCCACCGCCTGGATGTGGTGCACCCAACCCAGCGCCCTGTGACCCAACACCCCCAGATGCACAGATCTCCCATCGTGACCCACTGTGTAGAAATGGCTCTACTGCCTGACACTGCCAGGTAGATGCTACCTGAAGCCCCCTGATGCAGAGACCTGCCACAGAGATCAGATATGCCTAAACCGGGGCCATCAGAAGATCAGATGCACCACTGAGATCCATTGAGACTAGTTACATCTGAACACACGGACTCCTGCTGGGAAACCACCTGCCTCACCCAGCTCTCCAATCTACCAGACTGCTAAAATGGGAAGACAAAGAATCCCCAAAGTAAAGAAAAAGAGGAATCGCCAGAAAAGAAACTAAATTAAACGGAGGCAAGTAATTTCTCAGATACATAATGGAAAGTAATGATTATAAGGATGCTCAAACATTTGACTGAGAATTACAAGCAACTTGATGAGAATTATAAGGAGTTGAATTACAAATGCACCAACATGGATAAGAATCAAGGGGAAATGAAGAATGACCTAAGTGTATTAAAGAATAGCCTGGACGTATTAAACTGCAGCCTAGAAGAAGCTGAGGACCAAATCAGTGTGTTAGAAGACAAGGTAGAAAAACTTCCAAACAGAGCAGCAACTGGGAAAAAAAATGAAAAAGAAGGAGGAGAGTTTGAGGGAACTTTGGATCAGTCTGAAAGAAACAACACACACATAATAGGGGCTCAAGAAGGAGAAGAAGTTGAGCAAGCAATAGAAAACCTGTTTGAAGAAATGACAGAAAACTCCCCTGACTTGGGGAAGCACAAAGAGTCCCAATCAAGAAGCACAAAGAGTCCCAATCAAGATGAATCCCAAAAGACCCACACCAAGACACATCATAATTAAAATGGCAAATGTAAAGACAAAGAAAGAATCTTAAAGGCTACAAGAGAGAGAGGCAAAATTACCTACAAGGGAACTCCCATTAGACTATCAGCTGATTTCTGAATAGAAGCACTTCAGGCCAGAAGGGAGTGGCATGAAGTATACAAAGTAACGAGAAGCAAAGGACAGAATACAAGACTCTCTAGCATGGCTATCATTCAAAATTGAAGGTGAAATTAGGAGCTGTACAGACAAAAAACAAACAAAAAACAAAAAATGGCTAATGGAGTTTATTACTACCAAAACAACAATGCAAGAAATGCTGAGAGACTTATATAAAGAAGAAAGAAAAAAAAGGGAGAAACAGAGGCATAAAGAATAAAAATGGTAATAAACAAGTACCTAGCAATAATAACCTTAAAAGTAAATGAATTAAATGCTCAAACCAAAAGACATAGGGTAGGTGAAGGGATAAGAAAACATGACCCATATATATGCTCTTACAAGAGACCCACCTCAAAACAAAAGACTCACACAGAATGAAAGTGAAGGGATGGGAAAAATTTTTCCATGAAAATGGAAATAAAAAATAGAATGGAGGTAGCAATATTCATATCTGACAAAATAGATTTCAAAATGAAGGCCATAACAGGAGACAATGAAGGCTTTGTCAATAAACTTAAAGGATCAATACAACAAGAGGATATAACCCTGGTAAATATATACACACCCAATATACGAGCACCCAAATACATAAATTAACTTCTAGAGGATTTAAAGGAAGAGACTGACAGCAATACAGTCATAGTAGCGTACTTTAACACACCACTGGCATTACTGGATAGATCTTCTAGACAAAAAAAATCAATAAGGAAACAGCAACCATAAATGACACAATGGATCAAATGAATTTAGAAGACATTTAAAGAACATTTCATGCCAAAGATACATGTACATTCTTCTGAAGTGCACACGGGACATTCTCAAAGACAGACCACATGGTAGGGCACAAAACAAATCTCTACAAATTCCAGAGGATTGAAATCATATCAAGCATCTTCTGAGATTACAATGACATGAAATTAGAGGTCAAATATAAAAAAAAATACCCCAAAACATTCAAACACATGAAGACTAAATATCATGTATTACATAATAAATGAGTTACCAATGACATCAAGGAAGAACTCAAATAGTTCCTAGAAAAAAATGAAAATGAACATACAACAACCCAAAGCCTATGAAATACAGTGGAAGCAATCTTGAGAGGGAAGTACATAGCACTACAGGCCTATCTCAAGAAACAAGAAAAATTGCTAAAAAACTGTCTAACACTACAACCTAAATATCTTGAAAGACAACAACAAGAAAAAACCCATAGTAAGAAGGAAAGAAAAAGATCAGAGCAGAAATAAATGAAATAGAGGTGAAAAATACAATACAAAAAATCAATGAAACCAAGAGCTGGTTCTTTGAAAAGATAAATAAGATCCATGCACCTTTAGACCATCTCATCAAGAAACAAAGAGAGAGAACGCAAATAAATAAATAAATTCAGAAACAAATGGGGGGAAATAACAATTGACATCACAGAAATACAAAGGATTGTAAGAAAATACAATGAACAACTATATGCCAATGAGCTGGACAACCTGCATGAAATAGAAAAATGCCTAGAAAAATACAACCTTCCAAAATTGAAATGAAATAAAAGAATTTTCAAATCACAGAAAACCTGAATAGGGCGATAAGTACTGATGAAGTAGAAGCAGTAATGAAAAAACTCCCTGCAAACTAAAGCCCTAAAACCTGGAACAACATAGGGTTGTCCATTTTCAGCACCTTTATTCAACATAGTACTGGAGTGCAGGAAGCCACCCACTGCTGATACTATCATGAGAGTGCACCAAGGAAGGTGGAAGGCGATGGAACTTTGTTTGTTTTGAGATAGTGGTAGCTTGAAGCAATTTCCTGACCTAATAGCCTCAAAGTAAATGTTTACTGGACCCTACTGATCTTTACTGATCTTTATTGACCTTGGATACGGTCTGTCTACTACCTGTTTGCCATGCTTTACTGAGGGCAAGATGTGTATGTAAAACTGAATAAAAAGTGAATAAGGCCAGGTTTCATTGTGCCTCTCCAAGAGAGAGGTCTCCACCTGGCCCTTCACCCCTTAATAATTCATATTTCTTGTCTAGTGTTTTCATTTGTGCATCAGCCCCTCCTTCAGATCCTGAACCCTAGCAATGCAGATCACAGTACTGGAGGTCCTAGCAACAGCTATTAGCAAGAAGAAAACATAAAAGGCAAGCAAATTGGAAGGAAGTAGTAAAACTGTCATTACGTGCAGAAGAAATGATATGGTACATAGAAAACATCTAGGACTCCACCAAAAAACTACTAGATTTAATCATGGATTTTGCAAATGTTGCCATATACAAAATTAACACCCAGAAATCACTGGCATTCTTATACACCAATAATAAACTCTCAGAGAGAAAAAAAAACCAAGATGGCGGCATAAGTAAACACCAGAAATTGCTGCCTCACACAACCACTTAAAAAATACAACTAAAAGACAAAACAGACATCATCCAGAACCACAGGAAGGCTGGCTGAGTGGAAATTCTACAACTAGAAGGAAAGAGAAAAGCACACTGAGACTCAGAGGAGGTGCGGAAGT